GTAGAGCTGAGTATCGTCAGCATATTGCTGACTCCTCAGCCCAAACCTCCTGATGACCTCTCCCAGCGGTTTCATGTAGATGTTGAACAGCATGGGGGACAGTATTGAGCCCTGAGGAACCCCATGACACAACTGCCATGGGGCAGAGCAACTGTCCCCCAGCACCACCCTCTGGACACGGTCAGCCAGGAAGGAGCGGAACCACCGTAAAACGGTGCCCCCAACTCCCAACCCAGCCAGCCTATCCAGAAGGACACCATGGTCGATGGTGTCGAAAGCCGCTGAGAGGTCGAGGAGTGTCAACAGGGTCACACTCCCCATGTCTCTCTCCCAGCAAAGGTCATCATACAGGGCGACCAAGGCAGTCTCTGTACCAGAACCCGGCCTGAAACCTGATTGAAATGGATCCAGAAAATCCATTTCATCCAGCAGCGCCTGGAGTTGCCCGGCCACAACCCGCTCCAACACCTTGCCCAAATAAGGGAGGTTCGCCACTGGTCAGTAGTTCACCACCAGCCTTGGGTCCAGGTTAGGCTTTTTAAAGAGCGGCTGAATTACCGCCTCTTTCAAGGAGGTAGGGACCACTCCCTCTCTCAAAGAGGTGTTCACAGCCTCCTGGACCCAGGTGCGAACCCCCCTAGTTGATCTTCCAATTAGCCAAGATGGGCAAGGATCGAGTGGAGTGGTGGTAGAACAGACAGATCCAAGCACCCTGTCCACATCTTCAGGTCTCAGTAATTGAAACTCATCTATTAATACTTGACCTAAGCACTCTACACTGGACACATCCTCTGATTCTGCAGTAATAGTGGAGTCCAACCCAGTGTGAATCTGAGTGATTTCCCCCTCAAAATGAATGGCAAACTCATCATAGCAAGCTGATGAGCAATCCGGGACCTCCACCGGATTTCTCGGTTGAAGAAGATCCCTGACCACCTGAAACAGCTCTGCTGGACAACATTCTGAGGAAGCAATACAGCTGGAGAAATATTGCTGTTTCACCAGCCATATTGCCACGAAATAGGCCCAATAATGGTCTCTAAGTCGTATTTAATCGGACTCCCAGTGGGACTTCCTCCACCTGCGCTCCAGCCATCTCCCCTCTCACTTCATTGCCGCAGTTCAGAAGTATACCAAGGAGCTATCTGGGCTCTGCATGCAGGGAGAGGGCGCTTAGGCGCAATCGTGTCAACCACCCGGGTCATCTCCCTATTCCATAGGGAGACCTGAGCTTCGACAGGAGCGGCAACCGTATTAGATGGATAATCCCCCAGAGCATTCAGGAATCCATCTGGATCCATTAGTCTCCGAGGGTGGATCATCTTAATAGATCCCCCACCCTTGCAGAGGGGAGAAAAAGCTAATAGATTAAACTTGACCAGGAAGTGGTCTGACCATGACAATGGGGTCACAACCAGCCCCTCCACATCCAAACCACCATCTTCCAGTCCTGTTGAGAAAACCAGGTCCAAGGTTTTCTCATGTGTCGGGCCAATGGCATATTGAGACAGCCCCATGGTTGTCATGACGGCCATGAAGTCTTGAGCCACCCCAGTCAAGGCAGCCTCAGCATGGATGTTGAGGTCCCCCAGCACCAACAGCCTGGGAGTCCTCAACACCAGGTCCGAGACTACCTCCATCAGCTCAGGCAGGGAGACTGTTGGTACGCAGCAGGGTGGGTGATACACTGGCAGAATCCGCAGTCTGTCTCGTAAGCCCAACACACAACACAGGCCCTCAAGACCTCCTCTCAAAGGAATAGGAAGCCTGGTCAAAGAGATAGAACACTTATAGACTATTGCAACTTCCCCTCCCTGACCCACCGAGGGACACTGGTGCTGGACCGAGTACCCAGGCAGACACAGCTGGGAGAGGGGAACACCACCCTCCTCTCCCATCCAGGTCTCGGTAATGCACGCCAGAATTACATCATGGATGAGGGCAGTCTTATTTTGTAGTGACCTGGCGTTCATCAACAGCACCGTGGCTCGAGGGTTTGCTGATATGGTCCCCTGATACCATCTGATTGGGCGGCAGAACTAGAAGAGGGGATAGATGTAAGATATCTAACCTCTCTTCTCCTACGTGGGCATGTTCTACCCAGAGGTAAATTGGTAATTCCTGTGTAGTATGCTCCTAGGCATTTCTACAGGAGC